TCTCTCTCTCTCTCTCTCTCTCTCTCTCTCTCTCTCTCTCTGTGTGTGTGTGTGTGTGTGTGTGTGTGTGTGTGTGTGTGTGTGTGTGTGTTGTCATATTCGCTATACACTCGAAAAAAGCATGGTTGCGTCAGACTGTTTTGTCGGACTTTCACTGAGTCATCAGGACGTTGTGTGTGCGTGTGTGCGTGGGGGTGGCGGCAAACGGCGGCCACAGGGGCAAGGTGAAAAGATGGGCGTTACCCTTATGACCATATCAAAAGTAGTTTTGCTGCTACCGGATAGGGGCATACTGAAAAGTTGAACCGGTACTGGTGGGAGCACTATGAAAATATTTCAGTCCCAACTGGCACCAGGGTTTTTTTCAAACTTGGACCTTTGTCAGAGGGGCGCAACAAGGTAAGTCAATAGTCAGAAGGGGAAATAAAAGAGATTTACATATATATATATATATCTGCCTACGGTTTACCGGGCAGTTCTGTTTGTGACGATATATATATATATACAATATATATGTTTGTATATATATATTTTAACAGCACTTCATGTGCAGGAGATCCTGTTTAGTGAGGTGATAGGAGCATCCCCACTAATCAGGACCCTGTTTCTGAAGGCTCCATCTATTGGTGGGGAGCAGCACCTGCTGGAAACGAGGTCCAGTGTCCCTGTTTAACATAAGTTTGGTAATCACATCTTGTATTCAGGCTTGCCTTCGGCTGTGTTTGTTGTGAGCTATTCCAAGTGGCTTGTCGTGCCACCCTGTCACCGTTTGTTCTGACGTATGTCTCCCTACCCAGCCGAGCCGTCCATGAGAGAGGGCCTTCGAAAATGAGGCTCCTGTGACTCACTCATCATTTTATTTCTATACTCTTTTTTCCTTGGGAAAACTAGGGCGCAGTCAAGGTTTTCAGTCACGGTTTGGTGAATTTTACTCCTAAGCGAGGAAAATCCGTGAATCTATCGAACTCAGCTTTAGGATAAGGTGGGGATGTGTTGTATTCGAGGGACGCCTGAAGTGCATTTAGAACTGAAAACGTGTCTGCTCTGTAGTCACCCCTTTTTCCCTTTTTTTCTGAACTGAGGGTGCCGACCCCCGTCCAATATCCCTGATGGGCCTGATCCCTTTCCCCTTCATGCATTAGTAGTGGCTGAGGTCCTTGTGGAGCCTCATAGCCCCCCTCTAATTCCTTTTCTTCCTTCTCTCATTCTACGTTTGGTTTACCCTGCAGAAGAAACTCTTCTGCTTTCTCCGAACTTCAGGGGTCAAATCAAAGACCCAGGCGTTCCTCCGGTGGCCCTGGAGGGAGCATGGTGGCCCCCCTTCTTATCTGATCCTTCTTCTGGGCCGAAGCCAGGTAATGGCCCCGGTATCAAATTGTAATCTTGTTATAAATTCTGTACCCAAGGGATGCGGGACCCAGTTTCCAGCAGCTGTTGCTCACCACCAATAAGATCCGGGCCATCCGCATGGTAGGTACTATGGAGGAATGCTCATATCACCTCTGCCATACCACTGGGAGATGGTTAAAAACAACGAGGGTTGATAGTGGTCTCAATGAAGATGGATTTATTTTAAAAAAATATACTGGGGGCATCACCCGGGTTTTGGCTTTGTATATTCATATAGCTGGTAACCGTGCCCAGTGCCCCTTACATCATTTGAAGTGACCCAAGCGGAATGATCTACATCATTTGAAGTGACCCAAGCGGAATGAGGTACATCATTTGAAGTGACCCAAGTGACATGAGCAGCATCATTTGAAGTCACCCAAACGAAATGACCCAGGTACACCAGCCTGGCAGAAATGACGGCCAGGTCCCACAAATGAGAAAAGCAATCAAAGCTCACTATTATGAGGAAACCCTAATTAGGGGCTCGTTAGACACTCCTCGTGTTCGTTCCACCTATCCTCGGGGATGCACTCGCAAAAAAAAAAGTGAAAACACTCCGAAGGAAATTCCTTGGGCTCCGAGGATTCCCCAGCAATTTCTTCCTTTTGCCCAAGGGACCTTGGGGAAAAGGAATCCGCGTTTCACGGAGAGGAGCGGGCACGTGGGTAGAGAGACGTTGCAAACGAGAATCTGCATCATGGCGGCACCCTATTGGCTGAAGGCCTCAAGCACATTTGATTTTTTTCTTTTCTTTTCTTTTTTCTTTTCTGACATCGCTCGAAGGAAATGTCCTCGGGCGACTTCCCCAAGGACAGGGGGAACGAGGGGCCCAAATTTCCTTTTGAACCAAAAGGATTTTTTCCTTTTGCCAGAGGATTTCAATGGGAGTGTCTAACAAGCCCCTAACAATCCCTTAATTTCAAGAAAACCCTAATTATAATGGAAGTCTTTTTTTTTTTTTTTTTTTTTTTTTTTTTTTGAGAGAGAGAGAGAGAAATTCTTGGCTGTCTACTAGAAGGGGTGATACGAGCAGCCTCCGCTAGTAGTAGCCTCCAGCTGCTCCATCTATTGGTGGGGAGCTGCACCTGCTGGAAAACGGGTCCAGCATCCCTTGTACAATCAGAAAAAACTCGTTTTCAAAAAAAAAAAAAAAAAAAAAAAAAAAAACTCGTTATCCAGATCATTGTGTTGTGGCCGCCTAATTACCCCAGGCTCTCTGGGGTATTAACTGTGCGGGTGCTGATGTGTGTGCTGGTGAGCTAGGTCTGCCTATTCAGCCCTTTTGGGGCCGTCTGTTCCTATCTGTAAACTATCTACTCTTCCTGAACACTCTTCATCCCTCAGGCCTTCCATCCATTCTGCATTTACTCTCATCCTTCCCCCACTGTCAGTCAGTCTTTCCGCCCCCGCTTGGCTCCCCTTGGGGAGGTCTCGTCCTTTATTTCTTGTCTCTTAATGGAGCTCTGGATCTCCTTGCAACAGGAATAGAAGTTGAAACGGACACCGTAATCATTATGGAACCCTATGCACATCCCAAAAAGCCAACGAAAAGAAAAGAGCATTCAATATAGTTTCACAGCATTCAAAATACAAAGCAAACTCTCGGCTGTGGTTGAACCGCGCTGCGCTAGTGCTAGCGCCCCGTTGTCGGCCGACCGACAAGGTTCGATTGTCCCGGCACGACTAGCGCCCGGGTGATTACCCTGGGGTTGCTGGGCCTGCGCGCGTGCCTCGCAGGGGGGGCGAGGCTGGTCAATAGCTACGTGGCACTCAGTGATTGGCGCTGTGGAGGCGCCGCGACACGTGGGCAGGGGAAGCGCCGGCGACTGGATGATTGTTTTTTTTAGGTGAAAAAGCGGCGCGGTTCTCAGGGGAGCTATGGAGACTACTAAGGAACTACAACAAGCGGCCAATGACTGGTTGATTACCATGGAGAAGGGATGTCAGCAGCTGCACGCAGTGGTGGGGGTGTTACTGGGCCAGATGCAGAAGGGGTCAAGGTTGGTGCGGGGGAGATGAAACTGGATGAGTGGTTGGAAGCCCGAGGTCAAGATATGTTAGAAATTCTGTGGGAACTGGAGGAGGGGCCGGATCCTCGGTTTGAAGCATATCTTGATTGGAGACGACTGGACGCAAAGATGGGAGTCTGTCAGGCTTTATTTCGGGAGGAGCGTGACCTGCGCTCGCGAATGGAGGAGTGGTTGGAGGAGGACGACATAGGGGCGGATGGGGGGCTACCTCTTGTTCATTCTCCTGCTGGGCGGGGAGATGGTACAGTTGTTTCAGCTGATCAACCAGGGATAACTGAAGGGCCCGACGCAACGTGCAGTGCTTTGGTGAAGGGGACTACTGCGACATCATCGCCGATACCGCCAATAAGTGCAGCAACAGCTCAAGGATTAACAACAATCACGGCAGAAATACCGTCACAAACAACCGAGGCAGTACTAATGGAAGTGCTGGAGTTGGGAGTGGCAAGATGACAACATCGAAGGCGCCGAAGATGACAACATCGACAACGGCGATGACAATAACAACAGCAACAGTGACACCGACAACAACGACAACAATGCTAACGACTGAAAACTCCATCATCACCGACGGGGGAAAAGGAGCGGCAGATACAACAACAACAATAGCGTGGGAAGAAACATGGGTTGCTATAACAAAGGATGCGACACGTGCGACAATTCATTGGTCTTGATCTTAAGGTTTTGCAGGTCCGGGAGGATCGGCCGCCACCTCGCGCCGACGCTGCGACAGGCTCGTAGCAGGGAAGCGCCGACCTGATTACTGCCCGAGACGCTGGGAGACACACGTGGGTCAACGAAGGGTCAACGACGGGGGACCCATGCGCGATCCTCCTCATCGATAGCGAGGAGACACGTTATGGACTCTGGGGGGAGGAGATAGAGGTTAAGGAGGAGTGCGGGACGCCCCACCATCGTCGGAGAAGGAAAGAGGGGAAGAGTGAATACGCGGAGGAGGAAGTGGAGAGTGGAAGAGGAGGGCTGACGCATCCGTATACAGGGTGTGAAGTGGCGATAGAAGAAGAGGAAGGAAGGAAGAAAGTGAGAGTAGGGCGGAGGAGGAAGTGGAGAGTGGAAGAGGAGGGTTAACGCATCCATATACAGGGTGTGAAGAGGCGATAGACGAAGAGGAGGGAAAGAGAAAAGTGAGAGTAGGGCAGAACAGGGGACCGAATCTGCCGCGGGGACCATCACCGCACAAGGAGGAAAGGGATGGAGTGACCCCCGCATCTTACCGGAGGAAGACGGTCGATCGATCAACAAGCTAAGGGAGAAAACAGCAACGGGAGAACATTGCCAGCAAGCTGAAGAACTGCGATCACACCCATCAAGGGGCCCCGGAGCAGTGTTTTCTACTCCGGTGGAGGGGTAATAGCAGTTGAAGAAGAAGATATACGAGGTGAGACCCTTCCGTCGCCTGGTGGACACGACAACAGCAAGCAATATATGACACTAGCAATCAACAACTAATCACGGAGATCCTTTTTTTTTTTTTTTTTTTTTTTTTTTTTTCCTGCGACATGCCCGCGGCAACGGGGGAACGTGCCATAGACTTTGGGGGTTAATGAGGAAGAACCAGACGCTACACCATCGTCGGAGAAGGAAAGAGGGGAACGTCCTATCAGTTGTGGATTGTGCAGGAGCAATCGTCCGACCTTCATAGGGCTTGGAGAGGTGACAGGAGAAGTCAATGTAAGGAGGAGCGCTGGAGTAGAAGATTCACGCTGCGTGGAGAACCGGGGGAGGCAAACAGGGAGAAGGGAATAAACAGGAGAGGATCAATAAAGGAAAGAGCAGTGAAGTGACGAAGGGAGAGGCAACAGAAGAGGGACAAAGGGAGGAAAAGGAAAAGGGAGAGAAGGGGTGGAGGGCGGGGAAAGGTGGATTCGGCTCGAGAAGAAGACGGGTGAGACACCGGCACGAGTGGACGCGAGAAGGAAGAGGCAGCAAGAGAACAGAAACTGAAATATTAAATGAAATAAGAAATGAAGACCGGAGGAGGAAAAGGAAGGAAGACAGCAGCAAAAGAAATTACGACCTGTTGAAATAGCAAATAAAATATAAAAAAAAGGGAGAAAGACCGAAGGAAGAAAAGCAAGGGGAGGAAAGAAGGAAAAAAACAGCGCTGGGAATCATCATGGCCGGGCAAACAATAAAGGGGCAAAGAGAAAAGAAGAAAAAATTGCCCACCACCCTCATGTACCGCGGAGCCATGCGGCAGCACGCCGAACGAAGACTGGCAACAAACAACAATTCCCGACGTCTGGGAGGACGGACTAATCACGGAAAGGGGGATCCATCACCGGCGGACTTAGTTCGGGAAATGCAAAACACCGCGCAGGCTGCACAGCCTGCCTCCTGGAATTCGCAAGCCTCTTGGGCTGCCCGTCTTCGAAAGCCTCACGCCGGGGAAACAATTACGATTAAGAGACCTGCAATGGACGAAGAGAGATCGGAGTGGAAGATTCCACTGGACAACCTCTTCTCAGCCAGCGCCTTCTTCCTCTCACGCCTGCTCTCCCCGTCGGAATCTAAGGTCATCAATCAAAAAGGAAGGTCGGCGTTAGTCAAAGCCCTCCCGACAGAAAAGGTGAACGTAAGGAATGACTTGTACGTGTGTCACGCCAGTAACTAGGTTTTCCACGATGACGCGGCCTTCAAATCCACAAACGATAAAGTGAGCTGGATCCGGGGCTGGCTGACAACGCTCAAAGGCAACGTGGAGGAGGCCCATGACCTCTTTCTACTTCAACCATTATCTGTCTCCACCATCACAGTCATTTGCCGGCACGAAGCAGACAAGAAAATCATGGATGGGTGGCGAACAATTAGATGTGAAAGATCCGAAGTGCGCATATACCCCTGGTCCCCGCCTAGGCAACAAAGACCAGAGGAGAGGCGGGAACAGATGATGGCGGAATATTTCTGGGTCGAATTCCGCCACATTCCCGTTCAGATCCAGGCTGTTTTTGTGCAGGATCTGGGGGAGAAGTATGACATAGTGGACTTTATAGACCCTCTCCCCCCGCACGTCGCACGACGCGATGACTATCTGATGTTGGCGCTCAGTCTCCCGGATGGGCAGCCCTTCTCCATCGATGACATGATCCCCTTCCGTGTGGGCGACAAGGAGTACAAGGTGCATACAGCTCACAAGCTCAGACCGTGGTGCTTCAAGTGCCAGGCCTACGGCCACTTGTACACGGACCCAGCCTGCCCTCACCACCCGATCAACCAAACACGGGCCACGGGAAGGCTGATCAGGGACCCCTTCCATAACACACACTGGAGAACGGTTGATCCAGGGCACGAAGGCTGGGTGTATATTGACAAGGAAGGAGAGGATGGCAAAACGGCAGGGTGCGTGTGGGACAAGCAAGGTGAGCCAAACTAGAAAACAAAACCGATGGCCACATGGACCCCCCCCAAAACCGTGGAAAAACACCTGCACCTACCTGACCCTCTCCCGGGCCAGGTCACATCTCAGCCACAGCATGCCCCCCCACCAGTCCCTCCACCTGACCCTCTCCCGGGCCAGGTCACGCCCCAGCAACAGCACCCCCCCCCACCAGACCCTCCCCCGGGCCAAGTCACGTCTCAGCAGCAGCATGCCCCCCCACCAGCAGTTAAGCCTCTGGAGAGAAAGGGGACCCTGGGCCCGGACCCGGCGGCCTACCAGGATCAGGCAACGGGACAAGGGGGCCTGCAAGGCCCCCCCCAAAGCAAAAAGAAAACTGCAGACCGGCCCGGAAAAACCATACCAAGGGAGGATCAGAACAGATTTGCTGTGTTGGCCAATGGGAAGGGGGAGGCTGAAGGAGAGCAGGATAAGGGACACAATCAGCAAACAGAACAACAAAGAATTCTCACACACAGCAGCGGGGGGGCTGGCCCACGACCCCCACAGCAAGGGCGGGTGATGGAAATGACCTCAGGGGATAGCCGGGGAAATGCAGCGACACAGCAAACTCAAAGGG